TAATTTAATGATTTTTTTTAAAAAAAAAGAAAATATTAATAAAAAAAAAATTTTTTAATTACGTTATTATAAAACACAAATAAAAGATAATTACGTTTAAAACTAATAAATTGGTCACTCTGTATCGTACGATCTTTAAAGCCAGTTTGCGACTTTGTCTTAAATACAATAGCATTATCTCCTGATTCTGCGGTTACAATATATCGACCACCAGCACAAGCTTTAAGCTCTACAATTAAAAGGTTATCACTCCATGCACTTGAACCATTTTCAAAGTTTTCCAAGATAGAAATTGAGATTCCAGTACGAAGCCCACCAAGCATTCGCATGTTCTTTGAAATAAGTTTTTTTTCAATCTGTCCGGTCTGGAGGTAGCGAACATACACCCAGATGTCATTTTTAGGATAGGTGATGTTTTCAATAAGATTGTTAAAACGTTTCTGATTGTTCTTTTCGTATATGAAAATGCCAAGTTCCGTCGATGTTGGCACCGAGATGATTTGACAGGCAGACATCCAACCAACGTTGTGGGCGGGACTCTCTATTTCTTTAGAAAGGGAGATATCGCTAGTTGTTCGCTGACATTCAACAAAAATACCGTATCCACAGCTATTGAGAACGACTTGCCTTAATTTGTTGGACAACGAATCTTTACTAAAGAAATTCAAATAATCATGTGGTTTAATGTAGCCTTTATAGAGTGGATCTAATGCTTTTCGCAAGGATGGAATCCAAAGTGGTCGAATGTCTTTGAGATTGCGTGTCCCAGTTGAATCGATGTAATATCTGTTACTATACCGGCGGATGTCATCGATGGAACTGAAGTAATCCTCCTTGGTTGCGGTTGGAATATTCCTCAGCTCAAAGGTTACCTCAAGTTCGTGAATAAATCGAGCCTATAAGACGTACATATTCTACATTCAAAGATCAAAATATTTTATAAGCAACAGACTTTCAAAAGCTAATTAGTAAAGAATAACTTACCTCGTAAGGGGCAACAGATGATATGGTGAGCTCAGCAGACCTGAAGCGTTTCTTTCAAAATGAAATCACCTCAGGATTATCTCTTGAAAATCCTTCAAAAAAAAAAGGTTTAGTGGAAAGTGTAGAAATCTCATCCGGAAAAATTACTTCAGAGATTACTTCTTCGTATTCAATTAATTTCATATTTTGCCATTTGAAAAAGAGTTTTATTGAAGTGGTACTATAGGATCTAAACTACTAAGCACGTACTTTACAGCATAATAAAGTGCCACCTGAGATAATGCGAAAACTATAACTAAGAGCATTCGGTAGTAATTTACCATCTAGAACATATTTTTTCGCATTTGGTAAAGGCATTTCGACTTTACTATGATCAACTAAATGAAATATGATTTGATTATTATAAAACAGGTTTTCCAAAAATTCATGCATGATTCTATCATAGATCAATTTAAAAAAAATTTTTTTGATTCAACTCAATATTGTTTTGTCCTTGTTTGAATCTTTATTCATTCCTCCCCCTTTTAACACCTTTTTCATTCTATACCTTCTTTTTTGAATTTCTTTTTTCTTTTCTTTCGTTCGTTCTTTCCTTCTCACCTTTTTTTATTTCTCCCTTATTTTTTCACTTTCCTTCTTATTATCTCCGTTTTTGAATTTCTTTTTCTTTCTTTTCATTCGTTCTCTCCCTCCTACCTTTTTCATTTTTATCATTCTTTTTTATTAAGGAAAAAAATTTTTTTAAAATAATTAATGTTCACTGGGTTTAGAAAAATGAACATCTTTATATGGATCGTCCACATGTTTACGAATATTAGAATATAAATATTGTTTTCTTTTTTTTGTTAACGGTGAAATAGGAATTATACTTATATCGCAATTTTTATTAAAACTACTATCCTGTAGTAGTATAAAAGGAGTTTCTGATCCTTCAGATTCCTTTGAAGCATACACTTTACCGATATCACCAGACAAACTACTAAAACGAAAATAATGTTATTTTTTTATATTGGGAAGAGAAATAAAATAGTTTTTAAAAAAACTTTCGAAATTATACCAAATCCATCCGTTTTTATAACAAATTGCTTCATTTCCTTTAGATGAGCAATTTACAACTCTTTCTATATCATTAATTGTATTAATTCTTGTGTCTCTATATACTTTTT